AACACGGGGGTGCTTAACTTTTTTCCAGGTGTATATATACTTCTGTTCTCAATATCAAGACACATGGTAGTGTGTCCTGCAGGACACAGTGTGTGTTATAAACAGGAGTCATAGTTTAGCAATTTTTTCACTTTCTGTACTGTAGTAATCCAAACTATTACATATTTTCAGTGGATGTGCTCTACTGGATCTTTACTTCACATAACAAATTTCAAGGCAATCCATTAAGAAATATATGAGATATAAAATCTCCAATTTTGATCAAATTTCTTTCTTTTTTTTTCTTTGCACCAAAAGTATGGAAACTTTATTTGATAGAAAAACATACTCAATTTTCATGGATTTGTTTCAAACTTGATACACTGATAGGTCTTTACAACCTACAATTAGATGTCAAATTTGGTATAAATATAGGCCACATATGCAAAATTATTCAACAAAAATTGTTCAATTTTGATCAAAATTTTTATATACACCAACGCAAAAAAGTCATATGAGCTATCAGTCTGAAATTTTTACTATAGTTTCACCTAAGAGTAAAGGTGGACTGTTTTTGTTTTTGTCATTTGGATTAAAGACAACTAATTTAGAGCAGAAAAACTATAGGGTAAAAGCATATACAGATACATAAGTATTGTTTAGGCCAATCAAACTAGATTAGCATTTTCTCGTTCAAGTTTTCAAAAGAATCATACAGGTGGACCGTTATTATTCACTGCCAACTTTTAAGCACAAATTTACTAAATTTTATGAAATTCTCCTAATTAATGAGTATTTAGCATCACTTGATATTAGCTTAAGCAATTACCATAACTAATATTGCTTGATACAGCAGTACCAAGTGCATGTGATTGATGACAAGAAACTGTTAATCTAGTTTACATGGGATTACCTTAAGGAAATTATTAACACTGTCTTAGAGAGGAAAAACTACCACCATATATTTTAAAGAATCTGGTTGGTTCTATAAAGTAAAGGTCTGTTCTAAATAATAGGTTTGCGATCCTAAAGCTAATGTTAGTTACTATCGAGTGTCACTTTCTTACTTGCTGTGGTTTGTTGGTGTGTATTGAGAAAAAGTCATGATATCTAATCAAAAACATCTTAGATGTGAAAAAAAGGTGTGGCCATAAAAATGACTGAGCATGTGACTTAAAGGGATGAAATCAAAATTCGCAGCCAAACTGGTAGCTTAATTTATAGCACTGATAAGAATTTTACAGCAAATATTCATTTGTTAGTTAGATAGGCCACATATAAGGTGAACAAAAAAATGCAGACTGGCTAACTAATAATGAATCTTTGCTGTAAATTTCTTTTCAATGTTATAACTGTAGCTACAAATTTGGCTACCAATTTTGATTTCATCCCTTTAAGATGCTTGCTCAATCTTTCTTGGCCACCATTTTCTTCACACCTGAGGTGTTTTTGATTAGATAATTATCTAAATAAAGTTACTTACTCATAAAATTACACGCATTAGTGTTTTCAGAGTAGAGACTGACTTACTTATAAAATTAATTCATATAGCTCTCTTCACAACATATTTTTATCTCTGTTTAATGAACTGTTCATAAATTTTGAAAGAGTAAAATAAAAAATAAATTCATTCACATTTGAATAAGCTTCAAAGGATGGCTATTCCAATTTTTTTTTTTTTCAAAATAGTGTATGTGTGTGTATAAATATATTTTTTTTCCAATACTCTTAAACTAACTTCTGGATTAATTTAAAAAAGGAGGGAAGTTAGTAAAAACAACTGTTCAACAGGATATCAACAGAAAAACTTTAATACATATAGATGTGGAAAGAAAAAAACAAGAGAAAGAAATACTTATCGAAATAGAAAATGTATGGAATTTGAAAAAGAAAATGATTTCATAATTCATAAATACTAAAAATACAAAACATTTAATGCTCATTATGAAAATCAGATCTGGCCATATTTAATCTACATCTGTATACAGATTTGCCAGGTGTGTATTGTTTTGATATGTCATAACCTTTATAATGTGAAGAACTAGGCTAATTGCTATACATGATCTATTATTTTATAAATTAATCCTAAACTCTAGACACAAGTGACTCAGAAGAATAGTTCATTCTAATTACTGTTTATAGTAATGGAAGTTGTGTCTAAGTTCATGTTTATCACAGAGCAATACTGTATAGTTTCTTAAATGAATATCTTTAAATATAAACTTTTAAATAATGATTAAAATTTAAAATGTTTTATGCCTAAAATTCCACACTATAGGCCTAGATTTAGCCATATTTTAGTATTAATTATTTGATTTGGAGTTTTAAGTTGCAAGATATCTAAAGCCATTTGCACCAAACAAGGTGGATGAATAAATTAAAATGATTTATGATGGAAAAAATGGAAAATGCAAAAACACTGGAAAAGCAACATACTAAATAGCAAACCCTAATAGCTTATAAAAAGATAAGAACCAGTGTAAGCTGGAGAAGTTCACCTTTACCAAGGACAATGCCCTGCATGAAAGATACATTGCCCACAGAAACATTTTTAAAACACTGCCATTGCTGATGAGAACCAAAGTCACAGCAGGAAGGTAAAACATGGGCAATAGGTAGGCAAACACACTGCTCACACAGTAGCCAGAAAATGACACTCAAATATTAAAAACTATGAAAATGCAGAGACTTGTTATGATAACTTCCTCCTTATAGAGTCTGTTCAAACTAGATGGCCAATGCTCTACAGCAGAGTTGATCTGGAAAAGCTTACGAGTCCTCTGTTCATTCCAAAGTTGTTAACAACTGATATGAAGCTCTTCCCAGATAGCAAGTTTAAAATACATGTACATAATAGGCAGAAGCTTAACAACAGAAACTGATTTGGCTGTACTGTTAGACAAGCTATTCTCCAGGATCCTATTGTGGTCAGGGATCTATTATAAGTGGATAAAACTTGGATACCACTGACTAGAAACTCAACATTTTTTTTTTTTAAATCTGGAACACCATTTGAGCTACCTCCCCTTCACTGCTATTTTCATTTTACAGATGGCTCCAAGTCAAGTCACATGATTGATTCAGCCATAGTTTGTGGTGACTGTGTGGTTGGCCACACAGGAACCCTTTTGATGCTTCTATGTTCACTGTAGTGTGTAATGTAATCTCACATGTCTTGAACTACATACAGAGAAAGCACTAAAGACATTTTACAATTTTCACTGACTTGCTATAATCCAACTCCGTCAACAGAAAATTGGAAGATAAAAATCACAAGTTATATAATAAAAAAAAATAGAAAGATAATGTAAGAATGTTAAATCAATATTGCATATGTACATTTTTAAAGTATTGTATGGTGGACTGTGACTCCAAGGAACCATGTTTTATACCATGCTACAAGGAAAAAAAAATTCATGCTCTGCACTTTGGTTCTATGTGCATATTATAAGTAATAGATCAAATCCAACTACTCAATCAGAGTAGCCCAAGATATGACATTGGGTGATGTTGAATAGTAAATCAGTTCAAAATTAGGAACAGCTAGTAGCCCTTGTGTAGCTTTGCATAAATATTTAAAACAAACAAGCAAACATACATCTGTACTGACGAAAATGTAAATAAAATAGTTTTCAGTTTATTGATGGAGAAATATTTTTGTGTATTTAATAATTTGTAACAAGTTCATCAACTTCACAATGAATTTAGAAACAAAATTAATTCTTAGCATCAACTACTCTAAGTAAAATTTCCACCTATGGATTTTTACTTCTCATGAAAATCCTACAGTAAAAATGCCCATTATATTTCCACATTTAAATAAACTGAAGAGAGAGAGAGAGAAAGAAAAAAATGGATAGATATAAAATAATGCCACAAATACATGAAATTCTATTTCTGTTTGGTTTCTTTTAACTCACCCCATAAACATGTTGTTGCTTTATTGTTTCCCTGGGGCAATTTTGTTATTGACATTTTATTTTCTATGTAACACTTTTTTTTTCTTATTCAATTTTGTACTAACTTAATATTTTTACTCCTGTTGAATAATATTACTGAGACCTATTATGGAATGTGTGAAAAGATTACTTTCTAGTGTAAATTTATTCATATATATATATATATATATATCTAATAATGGTACATAGTATATAATAAAACAAAAACTTTAAATGATAACATATAGTACAATACACCAAATATTACACAATTCAGAGTATATATTTTTTAAAACTATCCATCATTAAAAAAAATACATGAATCTGAGAACACCTTACCAATTGTAAAGAGTTCAATTCAAACTGCAGACCTAACAAGTTGTCTACAGCAACAGAATCTTTGGCTATTATTTCCTCTTGTTCAACTTCAACAGTCTCTGGTATTGATGGATTTTTGATCTCCTATGTTGTACACCGAGAAATTAATATATAGTCATGGAAATAATCATACAATCATATACACACACACATGTAGAAACTATAAATTTATTATATATAAACAAATATTACATGACTTGGTTGAATGAGTTAATAAGTTCAACTAGCATTTTATAATCTATTATAGTGCAAATTAAATTTGATGGATAAAACTATGTTCATGCCAGAATTACTGTTTGTGCACTAAATTGCATGTAGGTCCATAATTTTGTTGGTTATAGTGTCTAGTAACATTGGAGTTATACAAATAATTAAACATGTAATATCATCAAAATTGCAAATCATTCCACTAATTACTGCTGAGGGTATTCCCTATACATTTTACATACAAAATTAATAATAATAATAAAAAAATTAGTAGTTCTTTCCACTGAGTGTAATAAGACAAAAAATCAAATTGCTTAATGAGATGAAATATTAGATTTTTTGTTATCAATATGACTCCTCAAACTATGTATATATATATATATGACCTTGGAAATGAATATGGAAACACACAGGCGATATACATATACGTGAGTAACAAACAGTGAGTAATTGTAGCTAAATGCTCAATTTGTCCTTAGCACAATACATGATTACTGGAAAATACAAAAGAAAAGCAAATAAACTGTACAACGCACTTACATTTAAACAGTATAACTTGTTTTTATGCTGCCATAAGTTTATTAATTTACAGTTGTTAATTATTGTTCCTAATATCCCATATTGCTCCCCACAATTCAGCCACACTGTTTGGTTGCCCTTTGACCTTTTCATTTTCCATATAAACCCAAAAAGTCTTAATAATATTCATAATATAGCATTAAGCATCAAAGACAACTATTGTCAATTTCTAAAAGAGAGGATGTGACAGATAGTTATGGCAAAAGAGGTCCAATTTTCTATTTTATGGCTCTCTAACCAAATGAGATTGAAAAAAATTAAAAATTTTACATTGCCATAAGCGATAACATTATAATGAGTAACTTAAGTTAAATTTTGTACTTCTTGGAGGGGTGGTTAATAAATTAGAGAAGAGGGGATGCCTAGAGAGCAAACGTCACAATTTAGGATTTTATTTAATAATGCCTTGTAAAACTAAGAACTTAAAACTTATATAATGTTAAAATTTGGATTATTAGGTATGTTTTATTCCAAGTATATTCGTATACCATGAAAAGAAAATCTTGAATGTAACTCAGAAAAACCAAATGACATGCACAGAAAAAGATGATCATAGCAAGGGGATTAAAGCATTATTGTTTAGTTTATACAAATATGTTTCCATGACAGCATGCATCATTCTTGTCATACTTCCAACAATTAAACTTTTTTTAAATACATATTCTGTAGAATGTTCAGTTAGCAGTTCTAGAGATAGCTGTGAAAGCTTGGCTAATAACAGATTTAATATGATATCAACATGTGTAATATTTTTTACAGTGCTTTTAGTTGTAGTACACTTGATTAACTCAAAACAAAAGAAAGAAAGAAAATAGGTAAAGTAACCAAAGAAATAAAACTACACTGTAAACAAAAATCTTCAAATTACATGTTAGACATTGTAACATAACACTGATAAACAGACACATATACAATTATTCTATAAATATTATAAGATAAGCCAAATACAAAAAAATAAAAGAAACATTGCTTATGTTCAATCTTAAATAATATATAGTTTTAGTAGCTTGTTTAACTTAACAACCCTGAGGTTACCACACAAGCGGACAGTTATTATTGATTATTCATTGCCATCTTTTAAGCCCAAATTTGTTAATTTATGGAATTATCCTAATTCGAGATCATTTAGTATTACATGATATTAGCTTAAGTAATTAATGATGTTTGATACGGCTGTACTGAGTGCATGCGGGTGATGACAAGAAACTGTTAATCTAGATTTCATGGTGTTACTATAAAAGGAAGTTATTAACACTATTTTAGAAAGAAAAAACTACCACCAAATATTTTAAAGAACCTGTTTGGTTTTGTAAAGTACAGGTCTGTTCCAAATATTAGGTTGCAATCCTAAAGTGAATGTGGGTTACTATCAAGTGTTACTTTCTTACTTGCTGTGATTTGTCGGTGTGTATTGATAAAAAGTCATGATATCTAATCAAGATGCCTTAGGTGTGAAAAAAAAGTGTAACTTAAAGAAATGAAATCAAAATGTAAGCTACACTTATAGCATTTATAAGACTTTTACAGCAAATATTCATTCATTAGTTAGCTATGCCATGTATTTTGTTTTATCCACTATCATGTCCCAAATTGAATAAAAAAACGTGGCCTGACCAACTAATGAAGGAATATTTGGTGTATAATTCTTATCAATGACATAAGTGTAGCTATCAGTTTGCCACCAATTTTGATTTCATTCCTTTAAATCATACAAAGAATCATTTTTTGGCTGATCTTTTTTTCACACCTGAGATGTTTTTGATCAGATAATTAGTAAAAGGAGCTATCAGTTGCATACTTACTGCATAAATATTTTCCTCTTCAGCAGTGCTGGATATAAGAACAGATTCTTCTGTTCCACCAAGGTTCATTTCAACAATGTTGTTATTCTGGATATAAAAAAAAACAACACTGTATCCATGAAGCTAACTAATAAATTTTTACTTATTATAAGGAAAGACCTTCAAAGTTATTTGAAGAGTTATGTTCAAACATTTCTGCTAAATATAATATAGTAAAAAGAAATATGTTTATCTCATGCAATTATTTTGGCACAAAGAAGTTGTTTTTATTTTCTTATGCTTCAATAACTCTGACAAGTCAGGTTTATATCTCTTAATCTATAAAAATATATATATATACATATATATATATATATATGAGTATATCTAATCAGTTATGGAAGTAGCTTTTGCACATTTTTTTTCCCAATAGGACACGATCATAAATTTATAATTGCAAAAATATTTCATGTCTTAGGTTCAACATCATAAATATAACTGTGAATTTATGTTTAAAAATATACAACTTATTCATGAGATTAATAAATTCTATTACAATACATGAGGTTTTTAAAAATTTTGAAAATAATTACACATTTTTAGGTATTTGGTTTCCATTTTTAATTCAATGTAATTAAAATATATATTTTCCTAATTATTAAAAACTATATAATCACCTTTTCATCTGGTTCTTTTTTATCATCCCTTTCTTGTTTAATCTTTTCAATCTCTTTCTGCTTTGAGTCCAGAATTACTTGAAACAAATCTCTTAGTGTAATCACAACTTGAGAAGCCTAAGTTAAGGATAAACATTCACTTGTTTCATGAGAAATAAATTAATATATGTTAAAGTCATAAATTTACATCTCATTACAATCTATAATTACCAAATTATGTGGCAAAGAAGGTAATAAATTGCTGCAATATAGTAAGAAATCCCACAAAATTAATCTTTAATATATGTATTTGGCTAAATATATAATAGAAATTGTTTAAAAAATATTATACAATTAACATTGAATTAACTAGTATGAAAGCACCCAAAATATTTTCACCCATCACCTCAAGGTTTACAAGAAAAATTAAAATGAAACACAATTTAAAATGGTTTACAAAAATATCATCATACATCACCCAAAATAACTAAACATTCTGCTGAATGTTAAATCTGTTCAGATCCTAAACTATACATTTTAATAAAGGCTTATACATGGTAGTCCAATTTACTAAATTATCTTCCAAAAATGCCATCTAGTTAAAGATAATAGAATCTAATTTTTTAAATCAAATAGATTTTTTTTATGATTGCCAATAGATGGATAATTATAACATAACAATGTTTAGGGACAACAAGGGAGCTGTTGGTTCATCTCAGCTGTCCCATCTTCTAAACTAAGAAACTAAAACTAT